GGCAGCGTGCCCCGGGGTGTGTGGCTCGCAGCGCCCGCTTCTCTTTGTTCCCCCCCAGTGGTTTGGAGCCTGGGAAGGCTTGGAGAGCTTAACTCGGCCGCTGATCTGAAGCTGACACTTAGTGAGGGGACTAACCAGCCGCCCGACGGTGCAGTTTGCACAGGGGTCTGAACGCCAGTGAATGGAAGAGGCAGACTTTCTCCTGGTACCAGATGCTGTTGGCATCTGTTTGCTGGAATAGCTTGGGAGCAGCTCGTGGGAAGTTTTGTTGTTGTTTTTTTTTTCTTACCTGCCGAGATTTTATTCTTTTTTTTTTTTTTTAATGCAGAGAGGAAGGTTATGTCAGTGACAGGCACGACTTGGAGGTTTGTTGGGAGTTCTTGGAAGAAATAAGCGTGGTGCGTGTGGGTGTTGTGGTCAATACGCTGAATTTACAGCTCTGGAAAAAACCCACCTTGAAATACTCCACCACCAAACTCAGACCATGCCATAGTCTGTAGTGGAAGAGTAGCGACATAAAAAGAAAATGCCAGGTGGATTTTTAAATGTGTTTTTTTTTTAAAACCAGGGGAGCAAAGAGAAGAAGAATCACTTGACATTTAATACTCAGAAGTTGCTAATTGTGGTCAAAACGGCATAGCGTTGCGAAAAGATTTTGCAATAGCAAGGGACTGGATAGTAAAATGAGAGGTGAAATCCAGTATTAAGATGTACGGAGTAATGCTTATAAAAAGTGTGCAGTGTATGGGTGCTTAATTACGTGGGGAAATATAATGGCTTCAGATGAGCTGTTTAGTATTAAAAACAACAAGGGATTAGCTGAAGTAATTGCAAGCATTTCTCCAGAGTATCTGTTTAATGCTTTGTGGCAAGCATGGGCAAATCAAACATTAGAAGTTTAAAATAGAAAATGTCACTATGCTGCTACAGGAATTTGCTGTGTTCCCTGTCTTACACTTTAACAAGAAAATACAGTTTATTATCTTATTAAAAATAAATAAAATCCTACTTTATTTTTTAAAAGATAGGATAATATAATAATTTCTGCATGAAGAAACTGAACAGGTTAGCTCTGCCTAGCCTCAAAACTAGGTGACTGGAGGATGGGTAATAATGGTTATAAAACTGAGTAGATTGAAAAAGGTGAACTAGGAATGGTTGTGAAATGAATTCATTACAGAGGAACTGGAGTACGTAAAATTAAATTATGAAGCAATAAGCTTAAAGCAAAAAGTTTTCTTACACAGGGAAATAAATTACAAGCTAATTAACAAAGAGTATTTTGGATGCTGCAACTTTTTATTATTTAGAGATTGTGGAAGAAAAGTCAACATCTTTAAGCTGTAGAACTAATACTCGGGTGAGGAAACTTCTGAAATGTAGGTAACTGGAATTGCAAGGCTATATGAGGGCACACCTTGTATGCTTGTCTTGTGCTCTTTTCCTGTGCATCCTGTACTGGTACAGATTGTTACAGAATAAACAGTGACATAAGCGGATATTTAGACGAAGTTTCTATATGTTCATTAGTTGTTGTTTGGTCACTTTTCATCTTTTAGAAGGTGAAACATGGTACCTGCTAGGGTTTTCAGAGTGTGTGTGTGAGATCTTTGCTTACTGTCTTGCTGAAAAAGTAAAATGATTTTGTGACATACTGTTCAAAATCTAAGACAAGGATAATTTTTGTCAGGCCTTTCTGCTTTTTGGAATTGAAACACTTTTTAACTTTGCTTACTTAAACATCTCCCATGTGCTTTCCTGCTTACAGAGAGTTTTATAAATACTTAGCAGTTTAGAGTTCCCTGTTGTGCGTTCAACTTGGACTCAGTGAATACTTTCCTTTCATTCTTTTGTTGTATTTTACTTTTGACAGTATTAGAGCTTATAAAATGATTGCTAAAAGTCACCTAGATTTCAGAAGTACTGAGCACAGGAAGCTGACAGAGCCATCTGATGAGAGTTACAGAAATGGCTTTATGAAAAAAGAATTACTGGGTCAAGACCCTAAAGAGCTGCAACTTGCATTTTGAGTGGCTTATAAAAGGGCTTGTGCTGTGAATGCTTACAGAGAACAATAGACTTAAATATCCAGGAGACATCCTAGCTTCATGTCGCTTTCTACTGCTTATCACAAATGCGATGTGGTGTAAGTGCTATCGAAACTGAAATTATGGGGAAAACATTGCATTTCATCATTTTTTTTAAGTGAAAAGACCAAAGCAGAAATATCAGAAGTTATTTGGACCAGTTCTTCAGCCATGTGAAAAGCAAATGTTTATGCCTGAATTAGGCATTTATTCCTATAAAAGTACTTTGAATTGATGACCTGATTTATTTTTCTTTAAAATATTTCTGGATTCTTGCAGCAATTGCTGCTACTTTTGGTGTTAATCTCAATTTGGTAGGAAGTGTGGAAGGCTTGCAGCCAGCAACATCTCCATCTGTAAACTGGTCACATCTGACGTGGAAACCACTGAGGGACTGTGAGCATAGCAAATTTTCATTTGGTCTTTTGAAGGTGGGAGTAAGGTAACTTGATTCCGCTTATGTTTACCTTTCATGGTTTCTTTTCTCTGGTTTCTTTCTGGTGATCTCTTTGCTACTTTAGTGTATTTCATGTTCCTCTGCAGATGGGAGTAACTTATACATAGTCAAGAATACAGGGTAAGATAAAATACCAGCCAGGGTGAACTCGAGTGGTGCTTACCTCCATATATTTGTTTAATTTTTCCAATGTAACAATGCATGGAGCTGTGTGGAATTGCAGAAGTGCCTTCAGTGGAACAGATGGAAGCGTTCCTCTCATTTGTCAAGAGAGGCTAATGAGATATGCTTTGGGAGACAAGAGCTTAAAACAAAAATCATGTAACTCCAAGTGCTGAAACAAATGTGTGATTTGTCTCACAAGTGAGAATTCAGTTGCAGATGGGAAAATATTTGAGCTTTAAACTTCACCTGAATAACTTTTGCTTAATGCTTTGTTCAAACAGTTTTGTAACTACCTTAACTGAGAGACTCTTCTAAGATACCTCAAAAGATGAGGAAAGTTGTTCTTGATTAGAACAGCAGTGAAGAGAAAATACTCATTAGTTTGAAGTTGAGTTTCAAAACTGTTACAAATGGGAGGTCTGAATAGTTTCCTTGTGATCAGTCAGCAAGCAGCATGTGGTAGGTAGAGTGTTGTATTAAACGGCACCAGGTTTAAGGAGCTGTGCAGAACCAAGCACTGTTCCCTGATGTCTTCTGTTACTCCAATATCAGAGTAGCATATGCTACCTTCAGTCTTCTCCATAGTGAAGCTGTCCACTAGGGCAGTATACTATCTGCATCTTAAAAATGGTGCAGCCCTGGAGAGACTTGTCTGTGGTCATGGAAGACATCTGGCACAAAGCTCAGAGTAGGACGCTGTTCTCCCAGATCTCAGGTTAGCATCTAGAGCTCCATGCTCCTTGTTTTTGTTTGTTTATTTTGTTGGGGTTTTTTGGGATTTAGTTTTGTGTGTTGTTTTGGGGTTTTTTTGTTTGTGTTTTTTTTCAGTTGTAGTTGCTCAAGATTTGCTGCAATGAACACTTCAGCATTTGAATACAGGCAGCATTCACCTTGGTGATATCCTACTTCTAAATTAAGTCTTCATGTGCTAGAGAAGTAGCATCCTATTTTCAAATCAGTAGGGACACAAGATAAAATGTTCTTACAAGACTGCACAGGAAGTCCATAGAAGGATCAGAAATAGAAGCCAGATAACCAGACTATCTTGTGCCGTTACTCCATCACCTGCTTGCTTGGTTTAAATTTTTCTAAGTTCATGTAAGCAGGTTGTTTTAGCTCAGCAGTCCGCATGGGCCCTGTGTATTTTGGGATTTTTTGCTCTTCCTGATTTTAATGGAAGAGAAAAATGTGCTCCAATAAAGAAAACCCTGCATCAGGTTTTGCGTACAAGTCAGTGTAAGGTGAATGAAATATATGGACCTGAGAGTTTTGTACCCCTCACCTTTTGAGGGGGAGTAATGTTGCAGTCGGATTTGTTTCTCTCCTTTATGAACAGCTAAGAGCTGGTGTGGGAAGTAACAGAAACTGTAGCTTTAATAAAGCATAGTCAAATGATAAAATCTGTTTAACACCCCAATGTTGCATAGATGTTATGTGCATCTATGAGTCAGTAAAAGAGGCTTTGACTCATGGTCCCGTCTTCATCAACATGTTGCACCATGGTTTGTTAGAGGGGTTGACATACTGATGGCACAATGCCAAATGTGGCTTAAATGTTTTTGGATGGCACTTGGCTGTGGCATTTTAAGTGAGATGGTGGCTCCCAGCTTTTAGTGAGTACTAAACTCTTCAAGGCTGAGAGTTGCTTGTTTGCCTAAATGAGAAATACTGTCTGTCTGTATTAGACAGGGTTTCCTGACTCTGGATTCAAGTGTCTGCTACACAGAGCTATAACCCCTGATTTGCATTGCAATGATGTACTGTTGGGTCTGGCTACTACTTTGAGAGGCAACTTCTTTCACCAATTAGTGTAGAAATATTATATATTACAGTGTGTATGTCATCACTGCTTATTTGCTGAAGATCTGTTGTGGGTGTGCTTGTTTGACTTCCACAGGTTTAGTCAAGATAAGGGTGATTTGAAAAGGTAAATAGCTAAAGAAAATAAAGCAAGCACTGGAAGACTGATTTGAATCAAATATTTTGTGTGGTGCGGTTAAACCAGTAGGACTTCATTGAGACCAGTTTACCTCAACCAAATGGAAGCAGTTGAGATGCAAACTGGTGGTGTCCGTTACCTGTCCAAGAAGAGCTCTCCAGAAGAAACACTGCAAAGCTAAACTTGGTTGCATAAAGGCAAGAATGCATTGAAATGCCCACTTTCCTTTTTTTATGTATTTCAAATGACAATTCTTTTCCTTTAAAAAATAAATTACTGTGTAACTTCCAGTTTTTCAGAATGGCATGGTGTCAGGTGTTCTTAAGAGTCTGAGAAATTAATAGAAAATGCGTTGTCCTCTGATGCAGAAGTAACTCAGTACTGTGAATCTGCCTCCAGGCTTTGTTTGTGTGTGTGTTTTTGTTTAATGGTGCATTTAGTTGATATTATTGTAGAGGAGAGTTTCTCTTGCCCAGAATAACTCGTTCTTTAGTAGTCTGGGTATTTCCAAAGAAATTCTTATTTAAGTATTTAGTAACACTGAGGCAACAGGAAGGCTCAGCTGAAGAGGCAGTCTTAACTCGATTCAGACAAGTCTGTTTGGGGGATTATTTTTTTCTAACTTTCTGTCCAAGCTGGCACTCTATTTAGAGCAAGTGAAAGAAAGCTAATCAAAGCAGAAATATTTATTATATCTAAATGTCTTTTGTACAGGCTGGGAGATCTTGTGAGCTTTTGAAACTCTAGTTTTCAAGCCTGGTTGCCCTCCTACTGTTATAATTGACTAAGTCTGTTGTAATTTTAGTTTCAATGCACTGCATGGTGGGTTGTTTCAGTGGCTATTATCATTGGTCTGGTTGTTAGTTGACTATAACCAGTCTTGTTGGCTGATTATTTACATGTCTTGTTTGTAGTCTTGAGCTAGAGAGCTCTAAGGTCTGTTTATGGTACCTTATATTTTAGTGGCTTGGATCGCTGTGCTCTAACTCAAAATATGGAAAAGAAGAATTATGGTTTTCTTGAGAGTGTCTGAAAATGAACTGTGAGTGTTCTTTAGTATTTTTCCCCACCCCCAACAGTAATTCTGTGTTAAATGGCCTGTTTGCAGTGATAAAGGAAGCATGTGGTCTGTTTTATCTAGCCTGAAATAAACTTATCTCCCTTAACAGGGTATTTATTTATGCCAAATATATTCAAGTAATGCATCTGTAAAGTGCCCTGTATTTTTTTTGGGAAGGCCTTGAATACTTTTGGCTCTTCCTCCCTCCTCTGTGGTGGTCTCTGGTAGTAGCGTGTCAGTTTCATGCTAATTCGCTTTGCAGGTGGTATAGGTAGCATTAAAAAACCAAAAACAAACAAAAACCAAAACCTAAACAAAAAATGAACCAACCAAAAAACCAAACCCAAACAAATAAAACCCAGCCAAACATTTTGTGGCTGTTTCCCACCTCCACACATAAGCTTAAATGTATCTAGTAGCATGTACATGCTTGTCATGCATTGGTGTACATGCATTTTCATGCATGTCTGGTGTCTCACATTTTATCTCTGCCAATAATTTGGGTGCTTGAAGACATTTTTAAATGGCTTGTAGTATACTGCTTAGGACTCACCTTCTTATCTCTTATATTAACTTGAAATATTTATTGCATTTTCTTTCCCATGTGGACTAGAAAAGTGCATGACTTTTGGAAATTTGTGTACTTCTAATGATGTTGAGACACATGAAAAGAATGGATTGTTTTAGGGTCTTCAGAATGTCCAGAGCATTGATGGTTCAAGAGATCTGAAATATCCCTCAATGGAAACAACTTGGAAAAAATTGCTGCTTCAATTTTTATTTCTAGATCTCGAAGAAAACAGATGCTAAAGCCAGACATCTGCTATTGAGTTTTTTCCTAGTAGCAAGGGGATTGCATGTGTTTGTGGGACATTAGATTCAATTCATCACAAGTCATGTAAAGGTTTAGGTATTAATGGAATAGAAGATACTTGGTGTAGGCCTTAAGAATTAATTTATATCATAAAAGGTTGTCATATAAAAACTTTCCTCCAACGTGCCTAAGCAGCAGACAATTTATGGAAATTAAAAGACTGCAGGATATGAAAAATATTCCAGGAGGGAGGAGAAGGATGAGATCTTTTTTCGTCCTAAGTAATGGTCTGCTCGTATTGGCATGACTCCCATTACTGAAGAGGAAGAAAAATAGTGGTGCTGTGGTTACACAATTGCCACTTATTAGTCTTCCTTCCCCTTCCCTAATATTCCCCAGTTGTCCACACTCAGAAGTCAGTTTCTGCTGACAGCTGTATAATTGGGAGGATGAGTTTCCCTAACTGTAAAATTGGGCTTTTAATATTTGTGTAGATCAGCAGTATAGGCTTGAATAGCTAGCAAGACCTTCGGAACAGAGCATGTGAGTATTTATAGCTTTAGCAAGACAGGTAATGTTTGGTGTTGCAAATGCTGCTTATGTGGCATATGTTTTCAAATAGCTGTTTAAATGTTATGCTACTTAACTGTATATCAGAGAAGTTAGGTTCCTCTTGCAGGGATAATGACTGGTCAGCTAGAGGGAAAGGAGTATCACTAGTTCTCAGGTAAAACTCCAGTCTCTCTTGACCTAAGTGCTTTAGATACAGGAGACCTCCTTTTAAAAGGAGTATTTTTGTTTAGATACATTTATATCTGCTTTTTAAAGTTCTTTGGCTGCCTGTTACAGAAACACAGAAGAGGGGAGGAGCTGGATATTTAAAACTTTTTCAAGAAAGATTCTATAAATATGATCGTCTTAGCTTTTTACTTGTATGGTTTTGAGACCTAGGGCATTTTAGCAGTGGAGCAGAACATAGATTACCAGAACATGTTAATTTTACTGTAATGGGGTTTGGGCATGGAGAGGGAACACCTTGAGTTTGGGGGAATGTGGCTTTTGGTGAACACAAGGAAGGCCTTATGCATTTCAAAACAAGTGTTATTATAAAACATGGTATTAATTTAAATCTCTCCACAAGTGTGCTTAGTAATGATTATGTAATGCAGCTTTTAAAAGGTGATTTTCAGAATTATGTTTGCCGATTGAGGGTAGAAACTCTCGTGCTACCTTTTTAGAGCACTTGTGTAATGAATCCTGAGTCGTTAATTTGGGTATAACCACAAAAGTTCCTTTTCTTCTGTCAGTGAAGACCTTTGTCAGTGCAGTGGTGATCTCCCACCTGCTCCTTGCTGTGGCAGTACAATGTGGACTGTGTAGATCCTTGCCTGGAGCTTAAATGCTTGCTTCCAGATGAGGATAAATACCAAGGAAAACTGGTGTTTAAAGGACTCATTTGTTGTGGAGGGGTGTTGGGGCTGGGAGGTGGGAACTGATAACGTTTTTTCTCACTTCTTCCTGGTATGCTTGCTTGAGAGCTGACCATGGTGTTGTATGAAGTAACTAAGCAGTGCCTTTGTTCTTTCCTCTGCAGGCTGGTACGTGGTCTGGCAATTGTTTTTGTCTAAATTCAAATTCCTGAGAGAATTGATAGGTGATACGGGGTCCCAGCAGGGAGACAACGAGCCTTCAGAGGCTGAAGCTGAACAGGAGACTCCACCGTCGCCTCAGAGAGGTAGACAGAAGTCTGCTCGGCAGCGAAGGGCACATACAGAAGACACAACTTAAAGTGCTCCACTGATCTGACTAACTATGAGTGGTTAAGCACCTCTGCACTGTGTTGTTCAGTGGTTTGATCTTACTGAAAAACTGACTTAAGAGGTAATATTAGTATCTGTGGACCTTTACGTCTGAACTACCAATGTATGCCATGTGAGTAGAGGTTCAGGGAGGGCTTCAGCAGCAAGTCATAAAGTACTGGAAGAAGCAAGGGGTGGAGAGAAATCTCCATCAGAAAAATGCTGAGCTGCTGTAGCTCCTATCTCTGCAGACAGATTGAAAACAGGTCCTGCACCATAGGCTTAGCCTTTGCATTAGTCTGAACGTTGTAAACATTTCAGACTTGAAATAATTTCTAAATTATTTTTTCTTTACAGCACTGTAACTACACATAGTGAAAATGAGTTTTATTTCCTTAGCTATATATGAATATATTTTTCTCCAACTTTGAGAATGCATGTGAACTTGAAAAATGGTTGAAAGAATATCCTGCTTTAGAAAATATTCTAAAGTGAGATTTTAGTTACGTTCTTATATATAAAGTATAAGTGAAATACGAAGAATCAGTTAGATGCACATGATTTGGAGGTGTTTATTATCTCCTTTTTAATAAAAATGGCAAAAAAAAGGAATTGGGTGGTAAGACCTGTTTTCTTGGTTTTAGCATCAGAAGGGTTACAGGTTAAACAGGCCTGCTAGGTTTCTGTATGTTTTTCCTGAAACCTTTCACTCTAAGTCCAACTTGTGTTGGAGAAGGGAAGATGCCTAGGTTATGTACTCAGTGTTCAGTATTCTGAAGTGTCATCTTTGTTTCTTGGACACTAAGCACTTCTGTAGTTCACTTTGTACACCTTTACATCAGGTATATGGAACCTGACACAACTTCTTTCCTGGAGCCAGCTAAGGCATTCTGACCAATTTGGTAAACATCACTGTAACACTTTGATAGTGTTATAGCAATGAATTTGGTACCTCATGTTTGCTGGAGGACTTTCTGATTTTTACTGGTAAAAAGCAGTTGCTTCTGTTTTCTTTGAGAATGGGTTATACAGCTACTTTAACATTGCAGTTCAGAATGAGGAGCTCCACTTTTGTTTATCTAGCAACTCTGAAGATGGTGCATGAGGAAAGAGGAGAAACATGCATGTACCACCTCTGATGTGTGTATGAGAGAGAACTACCAACAGGTCTTGTCATTAACAGTTTAGTTTTCTCTCAAATCTTGGCTGTGTGACGGTATTTTGATCAGTGTTCCATGTATAACAACTTAAATGGGACTAGAAAATTGGTTTCTACTTTTAGCTGTTAAGAATTTTAAACCTAGGAATTCCAAACTTGTCGTTTGGTTTAACTGTATGTCTAAAAGCAGCAACATTTAGCTTTTTCATCAAGCCTACACTGGGTAAAAGAGCACTCTTTTAGTGCCTTTATGCTTTGTCATCTGTGAATACTGTTCAAAAGCTAATGAGAGCATTCACTTCATTAAATGATTTGGCTGTTCCAGTATTAAACTAGGTAAGATCAGCCCTGATATCCTTCTGGAGTCTAAAAGTATTTGTTTTGTTTACTAGCATGTGTATATAAGCATGCTTTGTATTACAGGGTTACATTTTCAAGCATGATCAGGCAGTCTCCTTCCTCTCTCCTGTCTGCTGGCAAGAGAATACCTAATGATGTTTTGTTTGTTTTTTAATTAGTAAAATTCCCATTTATTCAAACTGAGCAAAAGCAATTAGATTCTATTCCCTGCTGCTTCCAGTTGTTTGCCTTGTCTGGCTTTCCACACAGTGACACTTTCAGTTTAGCACTGCCAACCAAGTGCTGGCACATTTTTCTTTAACATCTTTTGCATCTTCACATTGAGATTTGCTAATCAGGCTTACAAATAAAGCCTTTTTTTTTTTTTTTTTTGTACTGACATAGGATATTGACACTCCACTTCTCTTTAAACTAGATTTTAGTGCACAGAAGTCAGCAAAAGACTGATACTGGTAGTATCCTCAGCTGAGATAAGTAACAGTTAACTCAGTCTTTGCTTCTAGTAGCTGTGAAGAAATATGACATTGCAGCAATAGACCTAGGTAGTCAGGGTAGCTCTACAAGTGCAAGAATCAAAACTGGAGCAAGATATTGAAGGAAAAATCTATGTGGGTTTGAATGCTGACACTGATCAAATATGCAATAAGATGGATGTGGAACCTCTGGGTAGCTCATCTGCTCTAGCCAAACAACCTGCTTCTCCCTTCCTTGCCGGATGTAGGTGTACATTTCACTCCCCACAGTTATTTTCAGTTTTGTTGGTTTTTTTTAATTGATGCTATTTTTTAATGTTGCTGTGATGTAGCTGCCAGTAACTGTCTGCCTAGTGTATAACTTCAATGATCTTAGTAGCAGGCCAAAGGTTTGTATTACGTGGTTTGGAAGAATTTTGGAATGCTGATGTCTTCTGTCAATGCTTAATTTTTCCTGAAGGAGTCTGTAGTGTTATCTTTGTACAGAGCACTTCATGCAAACCTGTAAAAGCAGAGCTGTGTGTGTGAAAGTGTACTTTGTGATAAGACCTGGGTTGTGATTGCTGGCAGTCCAACATACTCATGTCTTTGAATATTTTTACCAATGTACTTCTGAAATGTTACTGGTGGGTAAGCACTTAACTTTGAATTGACCCAATCAAGTCTGAAACCTTATGAAGGCAACAGGTTACACAGTTGGTCTTGTTTTGTTTAGTGGGATCTATTTTTAAAAGTGTCTTATTGCCTTATTGTTGCAGCCCTTCTCTTGAATGTATTTTTGATCCTTATTTTAAATACAGTCATATCACCTTTGTTGCAGGGGCTGTGTAACTTTGAATAAGCAGTAATTGTCTGCATTGTGTGTGACAGTTAATTGAAAACAGTTACTGCAATGAAGGCTGGAACAAACACAGTGTAGGCTGGTGGATAAAATACAAAACCTATTGCTAAAATTTGAGTGGTGTAAACAATTTTGTTCATGCTGAATTGCATCATTCAGATCTGTTCGGGAGCCACTAAAGCTGTTATTGTGGTGATTTAATGTTTGCTCATGAAGCTAATTCTATGCAGTTCATCCACTAAGCACTGCTGCTGTAGCTATTTGCAGTAAATGCCATATACTGTGCTGCAGTTTGTGAGAAACTTGCTGCTTAGTATCAGGTTTTACACCAAACTAGACCTGTGTGTGTATGTTCTTCTGTTATGTTTGGAAATGACCAGCATAAAGAATGTGTTCAGTGTGTTCACTTCAGTGTTACAGTGTACCTAAAGCTTCTGTGGTTGTCTGTTTTCATTGTTAACTATTCTTTTAACTGACTGCACAGATGAAAAATAAAGTAATCAGACTTGATATGTATATTTGACCCAATTGTTTTCTGACTCTTTTTGAATGAGATTTTGTTTGTAGATTAAGACTTCTTGTTTGAGTGTGCCACACTTCAAAAGAAGACTTGTCAAGTCACATTCTAGCTGGTGCAATACCTATAGATCACTTTAAAGGACAGATTTGTATATCTTTTTAGAGTCATTGTTATTAAAGAGGCTTTTTCTGCCTTGTCCTTAAAAGTTTTATTTACACATTGGCGACTAAAAAATAGAACACATTTAACAAAAATCAAACTATCTCCTTCCTCTCTTGTTCTTGATACTGTTAAGATTGGTTGTAAGACTTACTAGTTTTTCTAAAAGTGTATTGGTAAAGTGGGAAATTCTTTTGGAAATGAGTGTGTATAGGAGAAGCAAAGGAGAACACACTTCATCTCTGATTGCTTCATTTTAAGTAAAATGCATACATTGAATCCTGGGGTTTTTTATTGAATAATAAGAGATTAAAAGGTTTTGAAAACAAAAATAGATACAAGATCTCTAATCTTGAGAGAACAAGTTGGTTTGCTGTTTCCTTACTTGTAAAAACAGGCTACTAACAGAATACAGTAAAATACCCTGTTACTACTTAACTTGAGCACTTGGGTCTTTTGACCTTAAAGAGCTGCATGGAGGGGGTGTGACTCAGGGTTGCATATAAGTGGGAATGAGCAGTAATGGGCTACCCATGTCAGATGTTTGTAAAACGTGCTTGCTTGTCTGCTGTGTTATCCATCCCGAGGAAATGCTTCATGGTCTGTTGCAGTGGAAAGTGTAAATATTCTGGGGTTTATATTAAGCTTTTTAGGCACGTATATTAGCTGTATTCTTCATTGAGATCAGAAGCTTTTATGTTTGAGTGTCTCTTATCGTGGTGGGTGTTCTTAATCAATGCAGCATTATCTCTGAAAGCTGGATGGGATGGAGGCTCTTCTGCACTGCTCTGTAGGCTGCCTGTGAGGTTTGCATCTGGTCTAGTGCTTATGTCAACATGGAGCAATGTTGGACTTGGCTTCAAGCAAAAGGAATGTCAAGATGGACCTGTGGGTGGACAGAGCACTGTGAAGGGAACAGGAGTGCTAGTGGCAGGGAGCTCTTGGGGTGTAGTCACCTTTGGAAGAGGCACAGCTATGGAAGTCTAAGTGAGAAGCCTTCTAGGCAGGAGACCTCTCATCAGTAGAACTCAGACTACCATCCTGGTTTTTACAAATGAGGGCACTGAGATGAAACATGTATTGTGCTTTATTCTCCCGTGTTTCACAGGGCTCAGCTTCCACAATGGGAAATGGGTAACACAAATGTTCCTTTAACTTCAGTAGCAAGGAGAACCCTGATATCTAGGACATGCTGTTTGTGGGATGCCTTTCTCAGCTTAATGTGCACTGCTGCAGACTCATCCTGAATGCTGGCGGTGTCCTTGAGCTCCAAAAGGTGAGCAGAAGGTATCCTGTTTAAGGAAGCCGTGGCCTGAGAGGTAGTTGTCTGTGAACCCCTTGCACTATGTGTGCTGTAGTACAGTTCACAATTCATGCAGCCGACTTCTACCCCCACCCCATTAAAACTTCCAGCCTTTTATGCAGACAACAGCAGGGTTTCAAAACCAAGGCAAGTATAACCTGGGGCCACCTTAGA